ATCCCGTTCGCCGGTCTCAGCAGACGCTTTCTGCTGCGTGACTAACGGCGATTTTCTCCTAGGCCGCAGCCATCGGCGCAGCGGGGCAGAGAGCCGGAGCGCAGCGATGGTCCGCAGAGCGCCGCGGGTCGTCCTGCGCCCGCCCGTCCTGCCCAGGCGCTCCCCGCCACCGAGTTTCTCGCCCTCTTCTCGTAGCGACAGCGTTTAGAGCAGGTCTTGCTGGCCTTGAACGCGAGCAACGGATTTCTGTTTTTCATCTGGATAAAAGGATGACAGGCGCAGGAGGTTTGGTGGCTCTGATCCCCCCGTCCTGCCCAGGCGCTCCCCGCCACCGAGTTTCTCGCCCTCTTCTCGTAGCGACAGCGTTTAGAGCAGGTCTTGCTGGCCTTGAACGCGAGCAACGGATTTCTGTTTTTCATCTGGATAAAAGGATGACAGGCGCAGGAGGTTTGGTGGCTCTGATTAGTGGCTTTGTCAAACCCTGGCGGTTGGGAGATACGCTGGAGACCTTGCCTGCCTTGTGGTCTTCGCTCTGTCACTTTGAGCGTTCTCCAACCTTTCTTGTGTCTTACCTAGACTGGAGGCTTTTCAGAGCAGGGGCTCTCTTATTTATCTGTAATCGTATCATACAGGGGCAGTGGGGAGGAAGAGACATCTTGATTGGAACATCCAAGTTTAGAAATGGTAAGACTAGTAGAAACAACTCCTATTCCTACATGTGAGTTAGGAATGGCAATGTGGCTCCTAGCTAAGTTAGTGGCGTGTCCTGCGTTTTTACCAAATCTTTGACTTGCTCTATGCTAACGAGGAAGGCCTCCCCAAAAACGGCAGGCATGATAATACGTAATGGTTTGCCGTTCTGTGACATGTAGCCTTCCTCTTGGCTGCCACTGTAGGCAGCACACAGGTGAAACTCATTGCTTTGCTAAGATATTTGAAGCCTGTTGTTTTAGAGTGAGTTTTGTCTCATAACAAGGAACGTGCAGAACTTACCTTTGTGTTTACAACACCACAAAATGATTTTGCATCCAAGGCATTTCGGGACCCACCTGATTTCTCTTTCTGCAGTTTGAAGTTCAGTGTCTGTTGAGTGGTGAAGTAAGACGTCATCCCTGGTGACTTGTCATGATTTTAAAATGTTCCCCCCCCCCCACAAGTAAGCAGTATGTGTGAGGCATTAACATTTGCAAACACATTAAATGAGCACTTAGCGTTGTTCAGCCAGTTGGATCACTCAATTGGTTGAACAATCCTAACCCTGTAATTTTGCATATAGGGGGTCTTGCACATGAATGGAAATAAGGAGGAAACATGGTATGATGAGTCCTCTTTATTCTTGTGTCCTGGAGATGAAGGGTCTGAAAGAGAATAATAATCATAGTGAAATTATTTTCCCTGCTTAGCCATTCTAAAGCGTTTACGTATTTTTGTGCATTATATATATATTTCAAGAGGCCAAAGTGCATCTGAGTTGCAGTTCTTCCTCCTTTAATTTGTCAGCATGAAGTGAAGGCGTTCTGGCTTTGCTGAGTCCTCTACCCAGAGGACTACTCTTCTTGGAAGGCTCCCGTGATGTTCGGGGATCCATGCGAGGGCTTCAGAAAAATTAATTCAGCACTTCTCTTTTGGTGTTTGATAATAAACATTCACCTCTACATTGCAGGTTAGCCCTGTGGTGCCGAACATATGTGGAGGAGTCTGAAGTGCAGAGAGGTGTTCTGGAGTCGGCCAGTCCATGTAACATCTCCCTTCCTCCTGTAGAGATTAACCTTGCAGTGGAAGGTGTGAGAGCACATCTAGCCATAGAGATGTCATGGGAAATTTTTTTTTTCTGAAAAGTGCCCTTGAAGCTGTCTGTCTCTTCTGCTGGATCTTACGTGTTACTTCACTCAGTAGTTTCTGGACAGGATTGGTGCTGATCTAAACAAAGTCCAGCTTTGAGTCTTTCTCTCTGTCTTTGATTCCCCAGCAACCTTTCTTCTCACTGCACAGAATTAGTGTGCTGTCTTTTCTCCACCAGGGAAAGAAGAGGTGTGCTTGCTCTACAAAACCTAAATCCCAAAGTCTTACATGAATCTGTATTGCCATTGAGCTCGCCTTTGCAGCACGTTTTTATTTGCAGAGCATGAGGAGAGTTTTCCTTTGAGAAGGATGGCTGCTCTCTGCAGTTAGTTCTTCTAGTTTGAAATTCAGTTCAGTTTAGAACCCCCTCCTTTTTTTTTCTCCACAGCTACAGTTGCTAAAGTGATTGACAAATTTGAGGATGAAACGGCAGATGACATTTTCCCTGCTGGTAATATACGGAAAAAAGCTTCAGCCTCTCTCCTGGAAGCTGATAAAAGGTACATGGGAAAAGCCACATCTCGAAAAGCCTTGCAAGAAGAACTCTGGGGAGATGCTCTGTCTGAAGAAGGATCTGGTAAGAAATGACATTTCTTTCCCCTTTTTCACAAGACTGCTTGAAATCTAGTGTCAGCACCTTAGACTGAGTTAGTGCCATCTGAAATGAGATGAGAAGCATTAGATCCCTATTACAGGGAATAAATAGGTGCACTAAATTGGACACCTTGAAGTGTCTTCCTGAAATCGAGGCTTTTTTTTTTTTTTTCCCCTTCCCCCTAAGGGAAGGGGGAATTTCAAAGAGGAGGTCTGCTTCTACAGATTGAAGAAAGAGTGTGACTAAGTGTAAGGTGAGGCTAGCCAGAGCACTGACCGAACACTGTGTGGAGGAAAAGAAAAAGCTGATGTTTTTAAGCTAATATATCTTGGGGACTGCATGTATGTACAGTTCTCACTGTAGAGACATCTGTACCAAATCTTGACCGCTTTGTTTTCTTATCGTGTCATTATTTCACGGGAAAGGCTGTCAGGTAACCCACGGATCTATAATAGTTTTTGAAGAAAATGTCAGCTGAGATCTGTTTGTGGATGTGGCCTCGTGTTGCCATTAGTTGGCCAAAGCAAAAAGTAGTATCGAGCCCAGATTTGTACTTAACACAGAGCTTGGAGCTCAGATAGCCTAAGCCAGTACCCATTTGATGATACGTGTTGCAGAGTGGCAGTTGCTGCTGGTAATGAAATAACTTGGTTCTCTTTTAATTATTAGCTGAAGAAGCATTAGATGAATGGTCCAGTGGCAGTGAAGATTTGGAAGACAAGGACAGCTTAGACAGTAAAGCGGAAGAGAAGCCCAGCAGTGCTGGCAGTGACCAGGAGGATGACTTGGAAGAGGACGAAGAGAAAGAAACAGATCTATCTGTCAAGCTCAAGGCACCAAAGTTCAATTCCCAGAACATCACAGACTTTGAGAAATTTACAGAGGGGATGGATGACGTAGGAAGCAGCGAAGGGGAAGATGAAGACGAAGCCAGCGTGGAAGAAGCAAGTGATGAGGAGGAATATCAGAATGAAAACCATGGCAATATGAAAGACACTAAAGAGAGCGAGGATGATGGAGGGATGATGACATTTTCAAAAGGACAAGTGGTTGAAGAAGTCGAAAAAGGAAAAGCTGTGAAGAACCAGTTAGGTTTGTACATGTTTGCTTTATGTTTTGACAGCACTTTCACCCTGCTGACGCTAGAGAAACTGGCCATGTTAGGAACCACTTCAGCATGACAACATGCTGTTAACACACTGCACATGCATGCTACAGCAGCCCTAATCATTTGCAAATGTTCTGCCAGGTGTACTTTGCAAACTGGTGTCACTGCTGATGCAAAGTTTAGCTATTACGAAGCGTATTTATTCACTGGCTTAACTGACCCACTACTGACTATATTTGTAGTATTGGTGGGAACAGGGACTTCCTACACTGTTAGTGCTGTGCAGTGTTGCTGATGCTGCTTCTGTTTCCTCCCAGAATGTAATGCTGAATGTAGTTTCTGTCTGTCCTATTAGACTACAAACCTCCATTTGCAGGATGTCCCTTTGAACAGTGAAGCAAAGAGGTGATTTTTGTGATTCACAGAAGTGCAGGCAGCATCAGAGGATGGTGAAGGAACATCTGCTTTGGCTTATGAAATAATTCTTTTATTTCCTTTCTCTTATGAAGCACTGTGGGATCAACTATTGGAAGGGAGAATCAAGATGCAGAAGGTTCTCCTCACAGCCAACCGGCTTCCACAGCCAGATACTTTCCCAGTCTTTAAAAAGGAAGGTGGACAAGAATTTGACAATGCTGTCAAGAACGGTAACAATTCTCTAATCTTTCTGTTTTGGGTAGACTTTGCCGTAGTCAATATGTTCTGGCTATGTAGGGAAGCCTTACTGGGAAAGTGAGGGCTTTGAGCTGTGTGCATCTATAGTGTCAGTATTAGTTGTTGGTTTACATTACTTTAATCGTCAATTAGGTCCTTTGCAAACATAAAACAAAAAGAGTTTTCTACCCCAGACGAAGGCAATGTCTCCTGTCACCGCATAGATACGATTAGTTGATCTGTATTGGTGACCAGTCTTGTCACTTGTGCTGTGCTGGTGAGTCTCAGCTTGGGTCCTGCTGCTACTTTTGGTATATGTGAGGCTTAAATGCAAGTTTCGTGTTGGATCTTAGCAATGATTGGTTTGGTTATTGCTGTTTAGTGCAGAACTGGGATGCTTCTTTGTCCAGAGACGCGCCGTGCTGCATGGTACCAGCTTTGTGCTGGGTCTGTGAATGCAAAGATTTGCCCTAACCAGAAGTAATGCCACACAAAGGAGAGGGCCTGTGCAATCAAATCAAGAGCAAATATCCTTTCAGCTAGGAACCCTTTCATCTGTTTATTTTTTCGGAACACTATTAGTGATATTGACCTGATGAGACTTGTAGTAGATTCTCCAATATGGCAAATATAACGTGCACACAACGGCTCGTAAGTACGAAGTTCTCAACTTCAGTGGGTTATGGATCTATTTAATTTCTGAAATTGGACATCTTTTGTATTGGTGTTCAGGTAAAAGCATAGGGAGATCAAATGTCTGATTTGTCATCTTTAGGAATTAATGTAAATTACTGCAAGTATTGGTTGGCGTCTTTTTTTTTTTTTTTTTTCCCCGTCACGTCTTTATTATTTTCTGGCAAAAATCATACAGATGATGATGTTTTTACACAGTTTATTCTTTTCTGCCCACTAATCAGAAATTAGTGTACTCTTTTTTTTTTTTTTTTCCCCCATCACATCTTTATTATTTTCTGGCAAAAATCATACAGATGATGATGTTTTTACACAGTTTATTCTTTTCTGCCCACTAATCAGAAATTAGTGTACTTTGCAGGGTATTCTTTCAGTGATTTTTGAATAATTAAGATAAGCCCAGCGGCATTTTAAAAATTGCCAAGTTGGTGTTCCCTTTCACACACGTTTCTTTTTTCTCATTCTTGAAATACTTGGTTACTTTCCAGAATATTTCAGCTCTGTAAGAAAACACCCCATGATATCCTGCAGGATTCTGAGAAACCCTCTCCTATTAATCCAGTTGGTAGGAAACACTCACTATAGTAGTGTCTACAACCTTGCATGCTAAACAGCAGAAATGTGATCTGAACTGTCTGGTTTGATGCTGATTGTATGTCCATTCAACCGCACGGTATTCCAGTTTGTATGTAGTAATAGATCCACTTTGTGAGATATTGGCCTGGGCTGGCACAAGTCAGCTTAAACTGGACTAGGAACTCTTGCCATAGTTAAACCCGACCCTGAATCTTGCCACTACACCAACTTTTGACTCTCATCTTATGGCTTACACCTGGTCTGAACACAGAAGCGAATCAGCTTATCTGGAGTTACAGCAGGTGAGATACTTTATATTTTAAAGTTAGCTCTGCTGCTTTAAACAAAGTGATTAAGGGGAAAAAAGGCAAACTCCCAGCAATACTAAGCTGACCTTTCAGTGAAATGCATGTTATTAATGTACTTAATGAGATGCATTACGAACTGCACCAAGCACCATGTTTCATTACAGGTCTAAAATGCAATATCATTAAAGACCTTTAACAGAAACAATGGTTGACATTTTGATATTTCCCATAAGCAAAATACATCCAAGAACATGGAGTATAGTACAGTACACAGTACAGCAGGGAGGTTAATCTTTCAGTTGTCCAGAATGTTAAAGGGAAAATCCATGGTTAATAACTGCTCCGTGATTCCCTGCTCATTCTCTTTTCATAATCTGGGCAGGAAAAGTTGCAGTGTTATACACTGATGTTCCTGATGACATGTGTTCATGTATTTAATGTGTGAAGACAGCAAAGAGATGCAGCTGGAGAGATCTGCATGAAGTTTGCAGAGGAAAAGCTTAGCTGACAGACAGGAAGGACATTTTGATGGGGATGTGTCTGAGCGGAGGTAATTGCATCTATGTAGGGCCGGAACTCAGTTCGTACAGGTAATGCGGTATGAATTTATGATCTTGTACGCGTTATTCTTAACAGTAATGAATTTAGGAACATTCTGGTACTACTCATTTGTTTTCTAGTGTTCTCTATGGGACCAAATTTAAATTTATTTTTTTCCTAGCGCAGTCTGTAATTGTACAATAAAGTAGGTTATGATAAATACTCATTTTTTGAGCTGTGCTATTGTCCAGTGCAGATACCTTTCATTGCTTTGCAAAGATGCTCTTACCAGAAGTTACAATGTACCGAGCATGAAATGAGGAATAAACTTACCATACAGGAAAGTTTCATGAAAGACTACAAATGTACTTACTTGGTGTTATGTGACACCCGTTTCTCTCTCACTTTGCTGCGTTGGGCGTTGTGAGAGGGATGCATGACTAATCAACAGAGCTGGAACTTTACCACATGGGCAGTCTGAGCTGTATTACATCTTCACTCAAGGAGCTGCTGTCTGGATAACATGAGTGTGACCTATCAGTTCAGTAGGCGAAACTTAAGTCCTTTCTAAAAATATAAGTCATAATATATTTAAAGCTTTTTTTTGACTTGATGAACCTTGAGTCAAATTTGATTTATGAGGGCCACCTCACTTTTTATAAATCAGCTTCCACTAACAGTCCTAATTTTTAGCTGATTGAGTGGTTTAGCGGCTTCTTTAAAAATAAGCCTTTCATTAGATTGTAAATGATGCTCAGATGGGCTGGGTCCCCAGTTCTCTGTTCGTGAATTGCCATCCCTGTTGGGTTACCAGCTTTAGGGCAAGATCTCGCTCCCCAGCCAGGAAAACTTATACACAGAAAGGTTTAAAGATGAACCGGTTCACCGTGAGTTGAAGACAAGACTTTGTAGCTACTGAATATTGAGACTGTTCCATGGTGTAGAATGTGCTTCAGTCTCGGACAGGATTTGGGATGATCGTGACATTGACGCTGTTTTGGACTGAATGATACTCTCCTTCTAGGGAAGCCTCAGCACTTCTTTCCAAATTGGCAAAATAAATGAACGTTGCTGCTTTGCTTAAATTGGGCATGTTTTCATGGACTTCAATGAATAGGAGGAAATGATTTGATATATAAATTTGCGTGGAGCAATTGGTCCCCAGATCCATACTCTCAGTTTAAATGGTAGCCGGTTGAAGGCAGGTGGGCGCAGAAGGCTCTCGGTGCCCAGGTCCCTTTGAACCCTGGACAAGTCTTGAGCATCTCTGAAAGTTGCCCCAGAACGTTATCAGTTGTTTATCCTAAATGCTTCCATTGCTAAAGAACCTTGTACTATGCGTTCACAGGGAGGATGAATGTTTTGAAATGGAAAACAAACCTTCCTGTGTTTGCCTTGTTGGTAGCTCCCACATGTGACAACTTTCTGTTCGTGCAGCTGGTGGTGGTAGGGACGTTCCCAAAGGGATCGAGTGTAATGGTGTTAAAGAGTTGACAGCACTGTGCAGTGCAGTTGCAGTTTTAAAGCCAAATCGGAGCAAAAATGGTAAGGTCGTGCTTGTTTCCCAGATTTTGAGATTGGAGGTTACAAAAACTCAAGTGTTTAATTTATTATTTTTGTAATCTTGTATGAAAAAATAATAAAAAAAAACGTGCATTGGACAGTCTTGGATTCCTGAGATCTCAGGTTCTGGTGGATGATTTACTGCAAAATTGCTTATAAATTGAAGTAGAAAATGTTTTGCAGACCTGGCAGCTTTCAGGCTTCACACCCATTTGTCACCCAGCATTTCCCTTTGTGTATAGAACAAGAATTAATTAGGCTGCACTGCAGGAAAAGTTTATGGCCATAATTTATATAGGATGAATTTCTGTTTAAAGAGACAGCATTGCTTTGTTTGCACTGTCTTACTTTTTTTTTCTTTCTTTCCTTCTTTCTTTCTTTTTTATTTTAATCTTTAATTATATTCCAGATTTTTTTTTTCTGTCCTCCTTTTTACATACAAATTGGTGACCAAACCGTGGTCGTGGAGCTCATGTTTATTCCTGTTTTGCATCCGTGGAGAAAGTCTGAGTGGTCTTTTAATACTGAAATTACAGTGGCCGCGCACTGAATGCAGTGCAAATGCTTAATGTTTAGTGCACTGTACACATGAACTCCCACAGCTTACAATTCTAAGGTGCTGTTGCCTGGAGTGGTCTGTTTCTCCAAGATACATTTGTATTCTCATGCACCGTATCTTCTAGTCTAGTGCAGGGCTTGAGATGTTGCCTCTGTTTGGGGTCTTGCACGTTCAATTAATGTTTTTCATAATCAATGCAAGTCAGAATTTGCAATCTGCTCCTGATTTGCACATTAAAGAGACCCATTAATTAAAAATTCCAATCCCTGGCATGTTCCCGCAGGATCCTTGCATTATTTACATAGAAAAGGAGTGCAAGGTGCAAGTTTCTGTGCTGTGTCTCTGCACAGATTGCGTGCTGCCATTCATATTTCTATGTATGTTTTTGGGAGGAGGAAGGTTGGAGGTAGATCTCATGGAAATTCCACAAAAAATTACCTCAAGGGCAAGAAAGAGCCAAAGAAGAGGTGGAAGCAACATTAGCAAAGCCAGCATCCAGTGTCAGGAATTAAACAGATTCAGTGACCAAAAAAAAAGCCAAAACCAACTGCACACACAAAGCTGATTGGGGGGAGGGAACAGCAGAGCTTTAAGGAATGATCTCTCTCGACCAACAAAGGCTAGAAGCTGTTGTATATGCCCTGGTAGCTGGGGTTCCTAAATTGTCTTGTAGCTCTGTTCTTGCTATTTTACTTTCCCCTTACGACTTTGGTTAAAAAGATTCATCTGGGAATGTGCCAGTGGCTAGTAGTTG